TCATCGTTTTTGAAGAAGTACGGACCATTGATTCCACCAGCCCGTAAAGCGCAGCAAACAGTCAGTTTTCCTGGATGTAAGGGTGTTTCGACATACACTTGGGGATTAGCTTCGCTCCAAATGCGGCACTTTTGTTTGTTGACGTAGCCAAAATTCGCTTATGAAAATCGGGAACAACCGCAATCTCGTTTTGGCTCCATTCGATGAATCTACGCCTTACTTGATGATCATTTGATTTCAATTATTGCACGAGTTGGATTTTTTAAGCACATAAACCAAGATCCTTCTGCAAAATCTTCCATAAAGTGGATGGACACAGATCCAATTCCTGTGCTCGATGGCGGATGGACTCATTCGGGTCTTCCTCAATGCTACGCTCTACAGCAGTAATAGCTTCTTTACGCACCGTACGGTGTCTCTGCGGATAAGAGTTATCAATAAGAGTAAACGTGATGCGAAAACGTTCCATGGTTAATCGAATTAACTGCTCTGATGGACGATTTCGTCGACGATAAAATGGACGTAGTGCGCGATACGCATTCCGCACAGAACCATTATTTTCGAAATAAAATTGCACTATTTGCAAGCGTTGTTCAGGCGTGAGTCTATTCTTGATGAATTGCCAACCCAAACTGAGAATAAATCACTTGACAGCTGTTAAATCGATCGCCATCTTGAACAGCAATGCCAACTTAAAGTTCTATACATCGAAAAAAACACCCATTACAAATACGTACCCAAATATCAACTGTCAAAATCGAAATATCACTTTAACCTTTTTATAGAAATATCTAAAAAAATATATTCAACATTTCTTTCCCTTATAATTACTAAGATTGTTCAAAATAAATAAGAACTAAAAGTTCAGATTTTCACGAAATTATATATTATGACATGACAATTGTTTCGACAACACCGTGTCTTTATCAAATGTAATCTTTACAAACTACCTGCTACTATATATACCGAAAAATGACCATAAAACCTTAATTAATGTTGTGAGAATTTAAGTTCAACAAGTTCAAAGGAGAGGTATTTAAATCTAATTGAACGTTAAGCAATACATTTGAATGTCTCATTTTGTTAGTCTTCATTGCTTACAATAAATTTGATTTTCTACTCTTTGTGGCTGTATGCAAAATATCAAAATTGTAGTCAAAAATGTGTTTTTCTGTGTTTAAGTGTGTAGCATAATTGGAATCCAGACTATTGTTTCTAAACGCTCTTTTATGTTCGTTAATGCGTTTCTTGAAGGCTCTAAATGTTTGTCGAATATAAATTTTAGGACAAGATCCGTATTTCAACCTGTAGACACCTGATTTTTGAGATTTTGGACATTTCGTTTTATTGTTTTCCAATTATTTTCCTATTGTGTTGTTAGTTTGAAAGCTATTTTTAAACCAAATTTTGAAAAATGTTTCGAAACTAGCTTTCAGAACTAACAACCCAGTAGGGAAATACTTCAAAAACAATATAACGACATGTCCAAAATCTAAAAAATTAGATGTCTACAGGTTGAAATGCGGATTTTGTACTAAAATTTATATTGGACAAACAGGTAGATCCTTCAAGAAACGCATTAATGGACATAAAAGAGCATTTAGAAACAATAGTCCGGATTCTAAATTATGCTACACACTTAAACATAGAAAAACACATTTTTTACGACAATTTTGATATTTTACATACAGCCACAAAAAGTAGAAAATCAAAACACAATGAGATAGTCAAATGTATTGCTTAACGATCAATTAGATTTAAATACCTCTCCTTTATTGAACTTAAATTCTCACAACATTTATTAAGGTTTTATGGTCATTTTTCGGTATATATAGTAGCAGGTAGTTTGTAAATATTACATTTGATAAAGACACGGTGTTGTCGAAACAATTATCATGTCGTGAAAATCTGAATTTTTAGTTCTTATGTATTTTGATAAATAGATTTTCATCAAGTAATAGCCACCTCAGTTCAACTAAGAATGTTCGCTTTTTAATACCTTGAACCTTTGCGTATCCGAAAAATTGTATATAGGAGTCTTAGTCACGACTTTCGTTTAATACGAGCAGAGCGAGTGTTTAATAAACGAATATCTCTAAAGATATTTATAAACTTATTACATAATACAGTTTTCCTAGGACCATTAGTTTTTGGCTACATTTTTGCAGGAGAGAACTAATAACATAATACTAATAATACTGAGTGTGACGTGACTTACAGACCAACGTCAAAATACCATCAGTGGCTCAGAAAACTACGGAAAACATCCGATCGCTTCCAAACCGGTGGCAAAAGTATTGCCACAGAGTTTAACGAAGCAAACGTCTTAAAGTGATACTTTGCGTATGCCTAAGCACTACATAGTTGCCTATTTTAGAATAGAGAAGTAGATGATTAAAAAATTAGGTCAAGATTATCGATTTGCACTTTTATGTCCGGGATGCTAAAAGATATGAAACTCATACTAAGCAAAATAATGAACAGGCAATATTCATTTGGTACCAAGTATTATACAGCTGAAATATGCTGCAGCGACAATTCGGGACCGAAGCCAAGTTCTACGTAGTATTTGAAAATCAGATTGGCAGGCAAGTAAAAATTTTACTCATATTTTATACAACGTGGACGTTTTATTCCAGAACTATATAGTGCCCGACAGCAGTCGTTTCAATATGCATTATATTACACTCGGTCGAACCGTTTTGGGGCAAAAAGGCAGAAGCAGAAAATCCGAGTCGCGAAAATGACAGATTCAAACAAAAAGCAAACCGCTAACAAGAAAAACCAATATCCTTTGTTCCATAAAACAAATTTTTCGGGTTTCCGCGTTTGCCGTCTGAATTCCACCTCACGGGGTATTATTATAAAGGCCCGAACGCTTTTAAGCTCTAAGAACCGCTAGCATAGCGAGAATTCCGCAGAATTTATGTGCAAATCAGCTCGGTTGACATCATAAATTCATCACTTTGGTTACCCGGTTTTCATATGCGGCGTGAGCTCCGAATGTGCGGGCTACTTGGTGCTCCTACTAGCTGGGACGGAAAACGACAAATGACAATTTAATTTCAATTTTTTATGTCCCTCACAGTCTTCACGAATTTTACTTCCTTACATTTAAGATTTAATGCACAAAGGGGATAAGTTAGATTTTTTTAACATTGAGTTATGAGCTCGACAATCAAACTTGGTGCAAGAACGGGATGAGATATCCTAACAATAAAGTTATAAGCACTTATGAACTCTAGAAATTTATGATTGTTGTGACTAATTTAACGCTATTTTATTGGATAATCATGTAGTGTATCCCATTCTTTTGCAAAGGTATACTTTTCTTTTTTGTTTTCATTTTATTTCAAATAAATAACCAAAGGGAATTTTAAAATTGTTAGTATAGTTTGTTACTACAGGCAACGTACGGAAGAGAGAAAAGTGAAAAGACAATCCGTTGTCCATATTATAAATTGAAACGATTTAGATTAAAGGAAAATGATATTAATAAAACAATACATATTAATGTTGAATATACTCTTTAAATCACAAGGCTCATCTTATTCATTCGAAGACATGGGTAGTATTTAAGCCAAATTTACAGTTACAATTTAAATTTCATAGCCCAATTCTGAAAGCTATGGTAGCTATGATTTGGTTAGTATAAATATTTGTTAGTATATAAAAAATAAATTAAAAAACAACGCCTTTATACCTAATAACTTGTATTATGTTTTGGGTGCCTTAAACCATATTGAAACCATACACAGTGTTTAATTTAAAAAAAAAAAAAACACTTCCAGTGCTCAAGATTTTTTTCTTTATTAAACTAGTAAGCGGCCTAAATTTAAAAAGCAAGAAAACGGTTAGTTTTGTTTCGAAGTCTAACTAACTTTAATTGCAAAACAAAATTGAACTTCATCTATATATTTGTTTCGTTTCACTGTTAGTGCAAGTGTTCATCTATTTATAAAATTATTTCTACAATTGATTTTTATGATGAAACAAATCTTCAATTTTAATTCCATGCGTAACAGCATTCGTTCAGCTTATATAAAATTAAAGGTCTTCAACCTTAGCTACGTATTTAACATAAGCCAGGTATGTAGACCTATATTATTTACGTGTTATCGAATTAAATCCGTTAGGCTCAGGTTTACTTTACATGCGAAAAACTTTTTCTCTCCTACGCATTACAGATATATGTTGGATTTGATTAAAATCACCATTGCTGATATGAAAAATTACTCACAAGAACAGTATAATACAATTTTCTTTGGTTAAGTGTTTTAACTTCACTGTACATTAGAAACAAGTTGGATATTTAACTATCCCTAGTTCTGATTATTTTCTACTAAAATAGTTTCAAATATTGGTTAGTTTCTATACTACAAAATATATAGGATAATAAAAGGTTTATAAAACATTGGTTAGTCCGCAAAATATATATAAAAATTGTTTGTATTAAAAAACTAAATTAACTTCGATAAAAAGGAAAAATTCACGTCAATACTTACTTAAATGCCAGATCAAAGCAGAGCACAATTAGTATAGACAAGGAGAAATTTTGCGGGAAAAAAAAAACAATAAAAAAAATAGTAGTAAACTAATTAATGTGAGGTTATGTTTGGGACATGTATTGTGATTTTAGGTTTAGTTACTGTAATGTTTTCAAAGTGTGGTTCTGAACTAGTTGTTAAAAAATCAACAGCGATAATTTCAAAATTAAAGAACTGAAGTTAAAAGTTTACTACCAAAAATAGCATTAATAAAGCTAATCCAGTGAGATATTCTACAAACAACCCCATATTTGTAACACTTTTAGTTAAGGCCTTACATATTCATGTTTTTGCCTGTGGAGGTTAGTGTAATAACGAGCAATAAAAAAAATCAACAACCAGGTTTTAGTACCGTCCGGTCAATTTCCTTGGAATCGTAAGTGAGTCATATTTCTGAAACGGACTTAACTTCTCAGTTTTAAGCAATTAAACAAAAAATATGTATGTACTTACATTGTGTTCTTGCAGCTCTGCCTTAAGTCGCCTCCATCTACACGGTTAAGTAAATAAATACATGCGTCGCAACGGCCGAATAACACGAAAATTATATAACCTCGAATACGCGTCGGCGAATTTAAAAGACTGGCATCGGTTTTGGATGGAGACGCCCCGTGGCGGCGTCGCGCTGCCGAAACGGAAGACGTCACTACGCCGGTCCACCCTGGAGGCGACGGATTAATATCTTGTAAGGTCATCGCTGCTGTTTCGGTTTGGATATTGTCCACTAAATGGCTTTCTCGCACGCCCTCCGTCAAAACGGACCTTGGTTAAATAGTGCACCGCCAGCAAAAAAGTTGTGTTTTTGCTAAATAAATAATGCAAAATACATATGTTGCTAGTTTACAGATCGCTAGAGTTTAAAATCTCCATAACATTTTTTCCTAAATCTACTAGTACAAAACTTTATTAATTATATCTAGAATATAAAGCACATAAATCGATATGTTCAAAATTTATTAATCAATAAATTAATCTCGTTTATTATGTTTTCAGAAATTACATATTTTGAATTAATAAGTTGCTAATAACATTTAAGGTGAAAAACTTGTTATGTTACTTTTGTCTAAATTTCATTTTCAGTTTGCAGACAGGCAGGCTTTTACAAGAAAGTGTAGATTCTTGTAGCACCAAAAAACGCCTTTGGCAAAACTCTGCAACTACAAGTATGTCGAAGTGTTGATGACTTGGAGCTTTTATTTGAGGTGCACTTTGTGATTGACCTAGCTTAAAAGGAGAGGCTAAATTAGTTTTTAAATTTTAAAAGTATTTCGTTTCTGAATTGAAAAAATGAAATTTCTGTTCATTTGTAAACTTGTTTATCATTATTTTAAATTCTTAAAAATAGATCAGGGTATTCCGTTCGTTGTTTGATCCTAAACTAGAATCGGTTGCCTGACGTTCCGCTACAATTGCATTTGACATCTTCAGCGCTGGGCGTCTGCGTCTATGTTAAGCATTTATTAAAAAGTAAAAAATAAAATAGGGAGATCAATAGCCCTGTATATTAACACGATTCGGTATATTCTATCTAACACTGTTTTGGGCTACATTTTTTACGCTAAAACTATGCTGGTGATACGGTTAAACAAACATTTTGAATACCGCTTCTCACAAAATATAGACGTTTTAATAAAATTTGCTTAAAAATTAACCATCTACAGCATTTGTTGCCTTTATTCATAAGTTACATAAGTAGCCTGGAGTAGATTTATGATCACATATGTTATGCAGATGTCTCGAAATTGAGAGCATATCATTTTACATCTAAGACAACCCCCTAGAAGTACTACTATTTATTCTTCTCTTAGTAATCTTAATCTACGCATTTATTTACGCAACATGTTTAAGAGAACAATGTTTTCAGAGCAGTTTTTACTGTACAATTGAAATAAATATTGGTTCGGAAAGTCATTTCGTTTTTTTTGGGGAACATGAAAGACAGTTTTCATATAATGAATAAATATTTTATTAAATTATATATTGGCCATTCTGGTCCAACACCTTTTGCCATCTTTCTGGCAGTAACATACTTCCCCTCTCATAAAAGTTTTGGTCCTTGCTGGCAAAAAACTGATTCAGGTGGTTTTTGACATCTTCATTTGAGGTAAAGGTTTTGCCATCCAAAAAATTTTGCAGGGACCGGAACAAATAGTAGTCGGAAGGCGCCAGATCTGGAGAATATGGTGGATGTTGCAGTACGTCCCATTCAAGCTGTAAAAGATTTTGGCGAGTGACCAAACTTGTGTGAGGTCTCGCATTATCCTGGTGGAACACTATACCCTTCCTGTTGATTAATTTGGGGCCTCTTCTCTTTAAGTGAATCATTCAATTTGTCCAGTTGATGACAATAGACTTCTGAATTAATCGTTGTATTGTCCGGCAAAAGCTCAAAAAAAACGATTCCTTTGACATCCCACCAAACGGAGAGCATCACCTTTTTTTGGTGAATGTTGGTTTTTGACACGCTTTGAGCCGGTTCATCTTTTCTTCTCCATGACCTCTTGCGTTTAACATTGTTGTATACAACCCATTTTTCGTCCCCAGTAATAATCCGCTTCAAAAATGGATCATTTTCTTGACGTTTGAGGAGCGAATCACACACGTCAACGCGACGACACAAATTTCGCTCCGTAAGGACATGGGGCACCCACACATCGAGCTTCGAGGTTAAGCCCATGCCTTTCAAATGGCCATAAACAGTCGAATTCGACAAATTTAATCTCTCACCGATCCCTCGTGTGGTGATTCGCCGATTTGCATCAACTAATGCCTTTATCGCATTTTTGTCAGCTTCGACCGGCCTTCTAGACCGTGGTCCATCTTCGACATCAAAATTGCCGGATCGAATTTTTGCAAACCAGTTCTGGCACTGGCGTACTGTTAACACGCCTTCTCCATACACATCCGTCAATTTTTTCCTCGCTTGGACAGCATTTTTACCTTTTCTGAAGTAAAAAAGTAAAATATGACGAAAATGCTGCTTATTGCTCTCCATATTTAAAAGGGCACCAACCAAAAACTACTGCGTAGAATTAATAGAACTTTTTCACACACAAGCCTTGCAATATCAGCTCTCAAGACATATAATGGTTATGCGGCTTAAGTGTGAAGTTGGTTTCGAAAAAACGTAATTAAGTCCTCTGACGGGAAAAAACGAAATGACTTTCCGAACAACCTTATATATTTTCTAATGTTATAAACACCTGTTTTGTATATAACTTAATTAGCTAGATACCATCTTTTTCGATGCTTTTGGATTTGCTTTACTCAGTCACGATGCCTTTTGTATAGCTTACTAAAAACTAACCAAAACTACCCAACCACCTCTTTCAATAGATTAATGAAACCAGAGTAAATATAAATTGGGTCAGAAAATTTTGATTTTATTTTTATAAAAGTTATAACGAGTTTATAAAATAAAATGACTATAATATAATAATATATAATAATTTATTGTGATAACATAATAAATACAATTTACAATTACAATAGAATACAATTTAAATAAATATATTTTCTAATAATGTTATGAACACCTGTTTTGCACATAACTTAAATAGCAAGATACCAACTGTTTCGGCGTAAAAGATGCCTTGCATTTTCCATATTCAGTCACGATGCCTCTTGTATAGCTTATTAAAAACGAACCAAAACTACCCAACCACCTCTTTCAATTGATTAATAAAACCAGAGTAAATAGAAATTGAATCAGAAAATTTTAATTTTTCTTTTATAAAAATTATAACGGATTTATAAAATAAAATATATATAATATAATAATATGTAATGATTTATTATGATAACATAATAAATAATAATAATAAAATAAAATAAATAATAAAATAACAAAGCATTTAAATAAAATAGCATAATCTTCAAAAAACCTTTTTTAAAAGTATATTTGGCCTACTGGCAAATATTTGAGTAAAAGAAACATTTCACGCAAAGCAGTTCACGTAATTATATGAAGCAGCTGCTATCGCATAGAGATCTGACTTTAAGTGAAACCTAGAAGACGTAGAGTAAATCTAATAAAGGACAAAACGGAATTTTGGGTTCGCTCTTTATTAAGGACTGGGTTTCCTTAAATGTTCATTAAACATTAACATCCAGTGGCATAATCAAGGCAATTTTTAAGTGTTAATCAAAAGTTAAATAAATAAAACAAATAATTTTTTAATTCTATTTTCACTAGTAACTTATCTATAATTAACCCTTTTCAAATTGCTAATGAATTATCTCCCTTGTGTAAAGGTATGTTTAGCAAACTAAATATTATTCATTTGAAGAGCGGTGTTTATCCAACCTTGCGAGTGCGTTTATGTAGTGTAGTATTTCAGCATATAAACTTAACAATAAACAAACAGAATGTCGAAATTAAATCCATACAAAAATAAACATAGATACGAAACAAAACGTTTTGGCTCTTATTATCGATCCTGTTATACCACTAAATTTTCGTCTGCACAATTCGGTAACAAATAATAAAGCGATTTTACTGCTGGCGGAAAAAAATATTAGTATATTTTGAAAGTAAAATTTGTTTTCATATGGGGGTCATGTTTGCGTTGTATATTTTATGTGTTATTTTAATATCGTTTATTGATTTTATAGATTCATTCGAGTGTTCAACATTAAGAGAAATGCTTATCACAACAAAACAAATGGCTCTGCTGACGGATGTCACCCAAAAAAATATTTAATAACAATTATCATAACAATAGTTTTTGATGTAAAAATTTTATTTTTTTAACCTGTGCAGCATACTTTAGCAATATATTTGCAGCATGCCGACAAACCAACATTACAATTAAAAGCAAAATTACTCTTAATTTCATATAGAGTTCTAGTTTTTGCTAAATTAAAAACTCCGACTTTCAGATTACAGCTTAAATAGGATAAAAATTGATTTCATTTTAGGATTTTATTCTTATGTCATTGGTCGAATGGACTAGTAAATGGTTCAAAGGTAACATGTAAAGATGATTGGAAGTTAAGTGGTTACTGTATCAATGCCTCCATCGGAGAATGAATTCGTGAATAAAGTAAGAACCAGTCGAATTAAGGACATAAGGACATGAAATCTATGCACTTATGGTAATCATTTTTAAAGTTATTTGATTAATATCTCGCCGCTAATATTATCTAGTATTGCTTTACCGTTATATACAACGTTTTACCTTTTATAAAACACATTTATACGATCAACAATTTGATTTTAGCTAACGATTACTAGTAATTCATTTCTTATATAAGTGCAGAATAATTCCGAAAAATCTCTAAAGTCAATCTAATTTTCTTCATCAATTGAGAAAGTTTTTTATAAAATAATAATAAAAATTGGTAGTTTTAGGTTTTTCCACATGACAATTACGTTACCTTATTTGGACGTTGCTCTTAGAGGGCGCTAGTTTCACCAGTCAAATTATTAATTATTGAAGGAAAATTCCACAGACTGTGCAACAGAAACAGAAACAATTTCAGGCGGCGCTCTGAAGAAGCCAGCAGCATATTTGGCGAAACATCAGCAAGGCAGTGCGTACCGA